GCTATGAATGAAGAGGGGGTGGTGTGAAAGAAAACAACAAAAATAAATTAAATGATGAAAGATGCCAAGCAAAAAAATAATACTTCTTAAGGTATTTGATCAATTTTTTAGAAAGTATATCAACTGCGCAGAACAGTTAAGGTTACAGTAAGTAGGCGGGACCTAATTTATACGTGAAATGTTTACTATGACGTCACACAAAATATAAGGTCTTCAAAAAACAAGAATAAAATGAAATTATTTGCTATTTTAAAATGCGGGATAGCTCTAGACTACATGAAAACTTATTGTTACATGTATTATTGTCGTTTGTTAAATCTCACACAACAAAATCGAACGATTCGTCGATCGCAATGCACTTGTCGATGTGACGTCATCTCGCAAAAATGATGCAATCTTTACACATTGAGAGGCTTATCAAGTCACGTTTTGTACAATGAAAAATATATTTTGTTCTCAAATAAAGTATTATTTACAAATATGAAAAAAGTCGTTAACTTGGATGCCATGTCTATTTTATTATTTCATTCATATACAGTCCGTATAAAGAGCTAAAGCCACGAACTATCAATATCTGCCTTTAATTTTAGACAAAATTTAAGTTTGAAATCACAATGCCTATCATATGTTATTTTGTAGAGCACATTGTCATGGTACACTACTTTAATTTTTTCTCACACAGGCTACCGTCTTGAGCACATGCACAGTAACAAATATACCAATGAAATTAAAAACTGCCTAAAACGCCGATTTTACGGTAGTTATTTCGAAAATTGAATGTGGCCACACTCAAGTATCCTTTCCAAACTTTGCATGCATGAAAATATAACATATATGCACCTTCATGCGAAATTTCTTAGAGGTACTAGCGTGTGGCCAATATGAATTTTACATTTAATGAATGTTGAGCTTTGTGAAAATGAAGCAAGATCCTCCATTTTAATAGTAATTATAAGTTCATCGTATGCGTAAATACCCTAAATTATTAGATTTATTCTTGATAATTATATAATCCCCAATTTGTCAATAATTTTGCTTTAGAATATCTAAATTTCCATTTAATATCTTTCATATAAAATTATAAGTTACGCTCTTTATTTTCATGCTTACGTACATGATACAATGATGACGTCATAATTTGACCGTAAGGTCTACTGAATCTTAGCAAAAAAAAAATTGAAGAAGTTTGTCAAAATAATTTTATAATTAAAAAAGAAGGTTGAGAATTGATTTGTGTCGAATTTCAAATTTGTTGCCAGCACTAGATGTTGAACGTAATACCTTGTTTCAAATCTTTTTTTTATTAACATGAAAAAAGCCTAATCTGAAGTTAATATCTTAAATACATGCAACTTTAAACGTATTCTAGGATACGTAAAAAAGTAAATAGTTTAATTTGTTTACACACTGATATTTCAATTGAAGAAATATATGGCATTTTTGAATATTATGCATTCAAGATTACAGTAAATGTTATTTAGCTAACATTGTTTTGAAACTCTAAGCTCCAAAGCTCTCTCTCTCTCCCTAGCTTTTCCCTTCTTTATTAGCCTTTTACGCTGCCTAAGAGCTTTTTCGTTGGACTTCTAATTTACAAGATCAACTTACATATTTGACGATGTCCTTTATGAAGTGTAGGAACCATTTCGTGAATACTAAACGTATTATTCAATTTTAAAGAGAGCTTATTTACGTTATTTTAACGAAAAAAAGGGAAAAAAATCTATTGATTTTCTAATAACTGTGAAATTGAATAACTCCGGATGATCTATCAGCACACATATACTTTATAGAAGTAACTACTATAGAAACTGGTCATATGTGTCCGAAATTCTGCAACACCTGAATGCATTTTGAAGTAAATATGGAGGTTACCCGATTAAATTAACAAGAGGTCCAAGGGCCTTGAATCGCTCTTCTGATAAATTGTACAATCTATCATTTCTATTAGAAGCCTTCAACTCTATTAGTATCATAAGACCCCAAATGCATCAGCTTACAATAAATACTTAAGGTACTTAAATATAGCCATAAAATGTCAAAAGTAAGTCATCGTGACCTACGTTTTAATCGACATTTTACAAAGACCCAAGATGCATCTACTGACATGCATTATATAATGAGCCTTAAAACAAATGTTGTTACCTGCTTTATCGGCAGGGACCAGTACGTACTGATCAGTAAATATATCTAATTCTTTTTTTCACTTATGGATTATTGAACACAGATGGGTGCAGTGTGGTGCAGTGGTTAGAGCGTCTGCTTTAGAGTCGCAAAGAAAGGAGTCAAACCTAATGTTACGGGCTCGAATCTCTCTGTGGGTCTTGGAGACTGGTCCTTCGGAAGAGACTGTATAAATCGAGGTCCCGTGTCGCAGTAGGTGCTGGCAAGAAAAAGATCCCTCCCTGCCAAATGGCTCTGAGTGCAGAGTATAGGACAACATTTGTTGCTCTCCACCGGCTAGCTATTCGAGTGAATAAATTCTTGAGAGGGACATTAAACAATATACAATCAATCAATTAATCAATGAACACAGAGTGATTGGTGCTTTTCATAATTTCATAATTAATAAATATACACAACAGTATAATTATTTCCTAAATGACCTGTTTATATGCTGTGATACTTAAGTTTATACAATGCAAACAGAGGAGTTAAATAAATTCTCGCTTGAACGCACACAGTCCTCTGGCCAGGTAATATGCCTCAGGCAAAGTATAGGAGTTTACTTAACGTAGAACCTACGTCGTTTGACATCATAACTAGTGAATGTGTTTAGTCTGTGCTAGATCCATCATGACGTCATAATTGATTCAATGTCACTTTTTCCCGTACTTTAGAGCTTCAATAAAAATTGTAGAAAATATATTCACAGAATTCAATTTAAGATTATGCCGATATAATCTATATTCTTTTTATTTTGTTATAATGCTTAATAAAATATTTTTCTTGAATTAGAGAAACCTGTAGGCACCTTTCAATTAATACATCTTGACCTTAATTAAGTTAATAAATCCAAGACTATCTTGTGTATTGAAATAACAATGTATACAAGTTATTGTAATAATGTAAATTGTATGTACATGTAACTATTTTGAAAGAATGCAAAAATCCTAAAAAATCTCCAGTTGCCAACTAAATAGTTGTAAAATATTGATGAAATGTGTCCAAGTCAAAGATGTTCGTGTTGTAGATCGTGTGATTTTGTGTACATTTGTGAAATCTATTCTTTTTCATAATTATTTGTTACTTATTCATATGCCCGGAGTTTCATTACGATTGATTAAAAATTTACAATTTTTTCTATAAAATATGATCTTTTAAAATTAAAACTACAATTTTTGATAAAATTTTTAATCTGAAAGTAACCCCAAACAGTCATTTAATAATTAAATCCCGTGTAAGTGCAAAAAGGTCAAGAATATTAGGATCGGTAAATAACCTATCTCTCATTAGTAAGAAGAGAAATGTATATATTTTAATCACTTTTTGTAATTATTTGGGTATGTTCTTTATCATATTAAAAATTGAAAACGTTGTGACAAAGACTTCTGAAAAAAATATTTACAATTGTAGGGTGGAAAATTGACTGAAAATAAATAGAGTTCATTTGCCTATAGTTTTTTAAAAGTGGACTTATCTTTATGTCAATTGGATAAAAAAGAATTAATTCTCGGGAAATATTGTTTGATACTGTTCAATTATTAAACAATTAAAACAACGATGCTTAAAGAGGTAAAGTTTTGATTTTTTGTCTTCTTTGCATGACAAGTACCCCTGAAAATGACTGAAATTGTGAAGTCATAAAATATAATTATCATTCCATGTTTAACCGCCTGCACTACATTTAATAGCAAGAAAACATGTCATGTGCTTTTGACTGATTGATAAGAGGGTGCTAATTTATCATTATGAAAAGTTTGGAAATATTTTGACAAAGACTTCTCCGACATAGGTTCTACCTTAAGAAACTGTCTTTCTATTGCATTGATTATGCAATGATAAGCCCCGGGGTTATGTAAGCACTGAGCTGACTAAGTGACATTTTATTCATTAACACTGTATGTGTCAGATCAAAGAGTACAGTAGAAGATGCACAATAAAACTGTGTAACAAAATTTCTGTACGTGAAAGACTCATTCAATTTAATTTAGCAGTAAGAGAGGAGTTCTGCATCAGAGAGGGGTTACTCAAAGCGTAACAGACAACAGACGGACATAATTATTCCTACATCATTTCCCGCTTTTAGACGGGGGTACAAAACTAGTTATATAATACTGTGATATTTTTCAGTCAGTAGGATGACTCTCCATAAGCGAAAAAAAAAAACAATGTCCACCTAGCCCTTTGAGCTCGATAAATCTTTTACTCTTTTACAGTCTGAATCATCGCATTGACCTCAAAGAAGCAATAATTGTGTAATTTAATGAGATCAAGATTACCAATTTATTCCCTATTTAGCCCAGGTGAGTATTTCGGCCTTAAGGTACCTTTATTTATTTTTATTGCCCCGTAAAGACTTTAACCTAAATCCACCAGGGAGTCATTATTCTACGAGGGTCATTTTTCGTCACTTGGGTTATGCAAATTTTTTGAGTGATGATACTTTTCAGCGTCGAAAAATGACCCCTGGTCAATTTTCTATAGGAGTCATTATTTGTCTTCACAAGGGCACCAAAAGGGACTTGCGGAGCCTTTGGCAAACATCCGTAACTGTTTCCATTATAATTAGCACTAGTTTATTTCAGATTCAACAAATCAATATTTTAATGTATGATACACACTGAGCTCGTAACCGTTAGCCAATCATCTTCAGTAACTGATATATAGTTTGATATTAGCCAGTCATCTTCAGTAACTGATATATAGTTTGATATTAGCCAGTCATCTTCAGTAACTGATATATAGTTTGATATTTATGTTTGGTGTTTGGTATACTACATTACAAAATATCAAAGTTACCCCCAACGCAGCCAGAAGCTTTAAGTACAAATTACGATATGGGCCCTCTTTGTTCAATTATTCTAGTTTTGGTCTTTGTTGCGGTGTGCGAGTCTACCATTATTTCGAGAAAATTCAAAGCACAACTGGAAATGAACGATACCAAATCAAACGAAGAACTTTTAGAAGAATACAACTCTACATCCGTTATAGAGTGTGGAGCGCGGTGTCAAAAGGAGTGTAGTTTCTATGGGTTTAATCCTCAGATGAGGAAATGTCGGACACACAAGAATATTTTCACGTCGGGAGTGTCTAATGAGGGTGGTTGGAGATATTACTCACATGACTGTATGTAAAACTGTTATTTTCTATGTTTTATTTGCCACAAAACAGATAAAGATCATGGAACTTTATTGTTCATCATAATTTACTAGATCTAAGTAATTGTCCTGTCTTATTATTTCTAATCATTTCAACTTTCGTAATAAGAACATGCTTAAGAAAATTTACATTGTATAGTTCACATCTTAGCTTTAATCAGCAGAAAACTTTAGTCCTTCGTACGGGTATTATGCTTCTTCTCTCTTCTTGTTAATTCGTAGTATGATTCCATCAATATTTCTTAATGATTTGATTTAATTGTAACACAGCATTTGATTGGATAGAAGATTTTATTCATTTTGTATAACATAACCTACCTACGGCATAATGAATTACGTAAAAAAAACATTACCCCGCTTGATGTTACTTTTAAAATATGCTAAATTTAAAGCCTTTTCTGGATGAAAAATTGTCTTGTTGTCTACACTGAAATTAAATTATAAGGGATAAAACTCATTTCAACTTCTCTTATACGATATAACGTAACTTGGGTCAGTTGACGCTTTTTTTTATATAAATCGCTTCATTCCTTAATTACTCATAGTAGCTATTTTTCTGGATTGTAAGTTGGTTTTCTGCTTTAGTTATGCCCAGCGATTGTAAGGATCTTCAATCAGATGGATACAGGAATTCTGGGGTGTATGTCATCTATCCCCATGGGGCCACTACGATTCCTGTCCCTGTATATTGTGACATGACGACACTGGGTGGAGGATGGACGGTATATAATTAACTTAATACTCTAAAGTACGCTATTTAAGAGGTTGCTTATTCTACCTTATTTAAGCGTTTTGTAAGTAGCCGGTTAGAATTTTGATCGCTAAAATAGTCCATATTTTGTCTTCATGTTCCTTTACAACGTGTTGAAGCTATAAATTAACAATATCTGTTTTTTCTGTAAAAAAATATTTAAATATTATTTTCATTTTCTTTTACCCATGAAGAAACTTTCGCAAAAACCTCACCTAAATTTGAGACTCCATTGCCAAGACACTCAAACATTGAGTATATGTTTTGTGCTTTTAGATATGTATAATGTAATTATAAGGATTGCACTTCAAGAAATGCCAAAAAAACCTTCAAAAATGTGAATTTACAGTACAATTCAGCCAATGAATGGCACATACATTTAAGTGACCTTTCAGTTGCCTTTCAGTTACATTTTAAGTACCTTTCAGCATCCATTCAGTGGACACATTTTTGTCAACTTTCAGTGACCTTTTCGTCAACTTTCAGTGACTTTTCGTCAACTTTCAGTGACCTTTCTCTCAACTTTCAGTGACCTTTTCGTCGTGTTTCAGTTACATTTCCGTCACCTTTCAGTGATATTTTAGACTCAATTTAGCGCTTTTTCACTAGCTCATTAATTTATAATAAGATATTTCTCCTTAACAATGAAGCAATATTTTGAATATTGATTTATTATTCAATCTTAATTGTGTCTTTTTTCTTATCGTAAATAAGTTCAGGTACCTTATAAATATGTGTAAATAATCATTATAATTTTATAAAATAAATGATAATAATTTAAAATTATTTTCTAATTAGATTTAGAAAACGAAAATTCTTCAAGTGATAAAAAATGATGATCCGATAGTCGAATCAAAATTTAAATTAATGCCGTATAACACATTCTAAAGTGCTTATACGCATATTTTTCATGGAAATATTTTAAATGATGAGACAGAATCTATATTACTAACACCTTCACAGGTATGTTAAGGCATCACATGGACCAGAATTCGGCGAATTAACACTTTTTTATAATTAGGTTACACTGTTAAATCGGAAAAGTCAAACATAATTTTTTTGTTATAATTATGCATTCTTTTGACTTCAATGGATCTTATACTACATGAAGCACTTCACCACGACGTCCCCACGTGACGTCTATAATTCGAAATTATGCCTTAATGAAAAAGTGAAAAGTTCAACACTACCCCGGGGATAATTGATTTCAATTTGTAATAATAATTATGTAAAAACATCTCTGTACCATGAAAAAGTGCTGCTAGAATCCTACTGTCCTATCACAGAAATAATTATTCAACACTTTCTGATGAATCCTTACCAAATTTTTTACATTTTGTTCATAACATTGAAAAAAAAATGCATTAATTCCCGTACACCATACGGTTCTAGCTGCACTTTCCAAAAAACAATAGAATAAGAACTTTAGATAGAAACAAAAATTAAGTTTCAAAGTGTGCGGCGTAGTGTTGAACTTTTGCATCTTATTTGTTACGAACGACAGAGAAAAGGCTGATCGGCAAGTAAACACCCTCCCTGCTTTAATTTTACGACGAAATTGTTGAAGTATATTACCATAACTTATTCATAAGCTTTATTCTCACATGAATCACACATGACATTCATTCTAAATGCTTTTAAACTCCGATTCCTTGTGTTTGTTTACATGAATTCTTGTTACGTTTCACTTTCACTCTGATTCTGCAGGATCAACAGTTATGACGTCACTGGTTCGGTATTTTACTCATGTGATAACTACAGAGACCCAGAAACGACAAAATTCTGTTTGTATAATGCCTCTGCAGATTTTGATTAATTTTTACGACCTCAAATAAATCTTAAATATCGATTATAAGAAATTGTCTTTCTCTAAACTTCACGTCATATAGCTTACTATGACGTCATATCATAGAGGCATGTAGAATATTTGGTTGAAGCCTTAACCTACCTGCGAAGAAGCCGATTATTCAATTGAAAGGTGCAACTGAATTGTAACTGAAAGGTCACTGAAATGTATGTGCCATTCAGTTGACTGAATCGTAATTGAATGATCACGGAAAGGTCACATGAAAAAAGTCTTTTTAGTGACCTTTCAGTTACTATTCAGTCGACTGAATGGTGGATTTTCATCCTGTGTACCCCAACACGACAAGTCTGTCTGATTTAACCACAAATAATTCACAAAACTAAACAAAATATTGCTTAAGTGTCCACTAAATTAATATACGCCAAAATTCTAGGCATACCTTTGAAAAAGCAAAACACCAAATAACTGCGGATGATCGTATTCTTCTCACGCGTAGAAAAAAGAGTTACGATATTGGAATGATTTTTAATATATATATACATATATAAATGTATTTATATGGATTTTCAAAAAAACATTTCTTATTTGGGAAAGGAAGGAGAGATAACTCTAAAATTTTGGTAAAGTTCGCACTTTTTTTTTTACTAGAAATCAATGGAAAACGGAATGTATTTTTCAAACACTTTCCTTCTATGAAACAACTTTTATTGGTAATATGGACTGCCATATCATAAATTCTTACCGAAGTTTTTTGTGTTGCATGGGAGGCTGGGGCATATGTCTTAAGACAGAAAAAAGAGAAAAATGCTTTTCAAGTGCTTAACAACTAAATATTGTATTTTACTAAAGAAGGATATGGAAATAACAAACAGTATTCAATCTCAACGTCCATTAAAAGATAAAGGATATTTATATTGTGTGATTTTATGTTGGCTTCATCCAACGAGTTGAAATTGTGTATATATTAGTGAGGCTTGCCGAGCGAATATACAGCATTCCAACGAGTTCAATCAACGAGTTTCAATAAAGCCAATACCAAGTTACTCAATTATTGATGTTATATTTATCTCATGAGACTTTCGTTTTAATAAAAGTAAATGAATGATGGCAAATTCCAATGGATGGCGTTTTATTTGACGACATAACACCACTGATTTGATATGCCTCAAAAGAAAGTAGATCGTGTTCATTTTTTCTAAATTTTCCTATCTGCGTCTTTGAAAACGTTAGGCCTATGGTACAGTTGCTGGAACTTTACATCAAACGAACTTTTGACTTCAAGTCGTAAGGACCATGGATGGAGAGAACTAACCTTTAGTGCGGTGGCAGTACAAAACGTGCTAGATAACGTCGCGGGTTCGAATCCCACTGTGGGACGGGGAGGCCGGTGCTTCGGATGAGACCGTGTAAACCGAGGCCCAGTGTCGCAGTAGGTGCTGGCCTGAAAAAGATCCCTCACTGCTCAAAGGCCCTGAGTGCCGAACATAGGACAAAATTTGTAGCCCTCCACCGGCAAGTGGTGGCGTCTCCATATGAGTGAAAAATTCTCGAGAGGGACGTTAAACAATATACAATCAATCAATCAATCAAAACGTGCTAGACAAGACTACTTGTACCTTCATCACCTGCATGCAGAGTGCATTTATCTCAATTAATTCGATACGCAAGAGCATGCACTACGTACGAAAAATTCTATAACGAGGTAAATTATTGACATGCAAGTTATTGAAACAAGAATATCAGTAGTCTCGTTTAAAGGTGTCATTTCGTAACTTGAAACAAGAATATCAGCAGTGTCGTTTAAAGGTGTCATTTTGTAAGTTCTATGGTCGATACAATGACCTTGTCAGCAAATACAATTCATCATTGAGACAAATGCTGACTGACGTTTTTCATATCAATTGTTAGATCATTATTTATACACTGAATTGACAACGGATTTTTCCGTTATTTCACGATCATGATATTGAGCACACAGTAGGTGTGACCGGTCGGCAGGTAATGCTCACTTCTCCATGGCACCCGATCCCACCTCTGATGTTTGGGGGAACCGTGTTTGCTCTGCTCTTGTTTTGTATTGTTTTATGGACCTTGAGTTTGAATACTTTTTGCTATCTGCAATTTCTTTTTAAATTAGACTTAAATTACTAGGTACAGATAGTCATACGTAGTATACTATAAGAAGCATTGTTTAAGATGTTAAAGGCTTCTTATAACAACAACTTAACTGCTAGGCTTCACTTTACCCGAAAACGATGAAAGGGGGGAAAACATCTGTTTTCAATTACCCAATACAGATTCCTTGATAAAATAAGACATTTCTTTGACATATGCAAGTCTGTTACTTACTTTTAACGATATTATTAATCTTTATCGTTCATTTTATAAGGATAATAATTTTCACAAATAAAAGTTTCAATAAATTAAAATCTTAAAGCGGGGGATCGTGTTAAAAGTCGGAATTGCTTTTGATAAAGCATAAATTCCATAAATAAAGCATATGTTTATCTTATGAGCAGTATCTCCCACACGATTGAGATAAATATGCTTACTTTTATATGCATAAAATTTAAAAGACGAACACTAATTCATATTCAAGTTTATTTCAGATATAATGATTCTTTTTGGTAAAATTTCAGTGGAAACCAACCCACTCACTCCCTTATATTTAGAGCCGGAAATAGGGATATTTCACAATTTAGCACTGGTGTTGAAATAACTAATGAATTCTTGTTAAAAAAGTTCTTGGTTTTAAACAAAAACTTTATAGTGAAATTGTCATCAATCTTGAATTATATGACTTTCAAATGTATGCTGGTATCTCGAGTTAGCCTGCGTAGTTTTTTTTACATCCGCCGAGAAAACCCGCATTGCAGTTTATTTCAATGAGCGTATTGTACATGTTGTTTTGTTGTTCCAAAGAATATAAAACATAAAAAAGTTTCAGTTTGTATCAAAACTTTATGATCATAAAATTATTCAATACAATGATTTTTTGTGGCTATGTATGCTAACTTTTAAAGGTAATCCAGAAACGTGTTAATGGATCCCTGAGTTTTGACAAAGATTGGACAGCATATAAAAATGGTTTTGGTTCGCCAGAACAAGATGTTTGGATTGGTTAGTTCTTTATTTTAAAGGAAAATTCATAATTCGCTTCAATATTGAACAATATTGTTATGGGGTTGGGGGGGGGGGGGGGGGCAGATGACTTCACAATGCTTTTAGAACATCGGAATACGTGCACGAGGCTAAATTATGGCATTGACCAAATAAAGCTTAAAAAAGTTACATTTATTAGGTCAATGCAAGGGGTTAATCTAAATTTGAAAATAATGAAAACAAGAGAAAGAAATCACTTATCGGCATGGTCTTAATGAAGCCACAATTAGCATTTATATCTACAACTAAGATGATAATTTGATTTTCATTTAAGTATATTTCGTATTAATTAATTTTTGTTTTGAAAACAATTTTATTGTTGATTTTAAAATATTGCTTTATGCAGGAAATGACGTTATGCATCAATTAACAAAAGAAACCTCATCCCTTTATGTTTCCATCACTCTCGAGAATGGTACAACGCTATATGAAATGTACGATAGATTCTCTGTCTCCAACGAAACAGAGAAATATCAACTCTTTCTTGCAGGACCTGCCACGGGGACCCTAGGTAAGTGAATGCATTTAAGGGCAAACAAGACGTTCCTTAATAATATAGAAATTTTATAAGATTTTACCATTGAAATATTACTACTAAAACTTGTTTATACACTGAAACACTAATTGTAATCTGACAACCAAGCTACTTGTCTTGTCATACCACGAAAACAACGAAAATTAAACCCCCACGAAAATTTGTGATTCTACAGTATATGATAAACGTGATGACCTTCACTTTTCTATCGTCAACTTCCCTTACTTATGCATCAATATACCTTCATCATCTGCGTACGGAATATATATATCTCAGCTGATTCAATACGCAAGAGCATGCTCTACGTATGATCAATTTCCAAAACGAGGTAAATTATTGACAAGGAAGTTAACGAATCAAGAATATAAGCAATCTCGTTTAAAGTAATAATTTTGTAAGTTCCTTGGTCGAAACAATAACCTTGTCAGAAAATACAGTTTATCCTTTAGTCAAATGCTGACTGACGTTTCTCATACCAATTGTTAGTCCATTATTTTATACACTGAATTGACGACGGATTTTTCCCGTTATTTCCTGATCATGACAAGGAGCACACGGCGGGTGTGACCGGTCGGCAGAGGATGCTCACTTCTCCATGGCACCTGATCCCACCTCTGATGTTTGGGGGAACCGTGTTTGCTCTGCTCTTGTTTTGTATTGTTTTATGGACTTAGAGATTTAATACTGTTTGTTATATCCATGTCCTTCTTAATCACAAAAATGACCTTACCAGGCATTTCTTCAAGATACCAGGGGTAGTTTTTCTTATTTAATCCTTTTAATTTTCCAGTTTCAAATGTTTAAGGTAGGTCACTCCTGAAATTTGGTATATCAAGGATTTTTTGAGAGGTATATTTTGGATAAGTACTCATAAAGTGTAACTCAAAATCGCAAAGAAAATAGAGGGTCAGTGTGCATCCTACTGATCTACGGTACATTTAAGTTGACCTTTTTGCACTTAAATTACATCTCTTTGGTTAATTACTCTAACCCTTATTATATTGATTAGATGTAAGCATGGTAATAAATATAATCTTATTTTACGTAAAATAGTTTGAATAATATTTATCATTAAACAAATCGTGCAATTTATTGCGCGCAAATTATTGTGTGACCTTTTTGCACTAAAAAAATAGCATATTTGGGGGTAATAAAAACTTAAATAGGCAATGAAAAATTTTCTTATATCAAACTTTTTACGACTTGAATGCTCATCAGTCACAAGTATCAAGAAAATTAAAATAATGAAAGAAAAAGATGGGGTTTGTGATGTTATTTTTGAAATATTTGTCAAAATATGTGATTTTCAGTCAAAAAATGGTGTAAATTTGACCTTGACTTCTTTAATACATTTTCATTTTTTGGAAAAGTTTGTTGAGGGAAGGTGTAAAACTTCGTCTAAAAATAGAAATTAAGACCTATATTAAATATTTTTAGCAATATCAAAACGGAAAATATTCTCCGATTAAAAGTATGTGAGGCTAGATTTCCATTACATTAAATTTTATAAATGTGCAGATTTGCAGAATTTTATGCTAAATATCCTTCCACCAAAAGGAATAGTCCCCAAACCAAAAAAAATAATGATAATATTCTTTCTCCCTCCCATCACACCACACTCAAAATAGAAATGAAATTAAACAGAAGTAAGTTTAACAAATATCTGATACAATATAAATAACTTTGAATCAAGAGTCTTTTTGTTCAATTCACGTATCAGATATTAAGATTAACATTTAGCTGTTCTTTATTAGAAATTAGAAACAAAGTTCACTTTAATAAAGAAACTGTATGATAGGTTTTGGAATTTCTTTTCTCAAATTCTATTTAGAAACACAATTCACTGAAATTCACTATTCACGACACTAGTCACGCTGAAGTACTCCCGCCACCACGTGCTGATCTGCCCCTATAAACACACATGCGGATAATCGCCTATAGATGATTCACCACGTTAGTTGGAGGCCCGGACTCGCTGGTCTCACCCTCCGGCTTGGAAAGAACGTATTGGGTCCTTAAAACCATACAGCATCAGCACCAGCATGACCATCCATGCTGGATAGGTAGCCGTCGAGGAATTACACCAAACACTCCTCACTCCTTCTACACTATACGCACTGAAAATATCACACGTTTAACTAACCCTAAAATAACTTTACACAAAAAGCAAGCAAAAGAACATACTTACAACAGTGAAAATTGACCAACAAAACAAACACGCTTACCGACTAGTGAGATACGCAGCACAGTTAAGGTTACGAACGGAAATATTGGCGATTTTTTTAAGATAAAAAAATACATACTTTATTAGGATGGGCGATTCTTTTTAGGAATTCACTGATATCAAAAATGTAATGTGGTTTAAATCTACATGTTGGGGACATTTAGATTTTTTATTTAGACTTGTCATGTGATGTTGACATCACATGACTTTGGCAATTATACTTGCAGTTTAGAGGTCATCTATAAATTTCAATATTGCAAGGGCATAACCAAGTTAAAAATTTTAGTTTATTTTATAATCCTTTTCAACACTATATGTAGTTTGTAAAAAGTGCTGCGAACCTATATAGATTACCTTTTTTAATTGGTAGAATTTAATTTGTTGGACGGCAGGTTGAATATTTTGCTGGTCAACTACATTAAATATAGCTATAATTAATTTATTTGCAAGATTTCAAGAGGTTCGCAGCACTTTTCAAATATTTTAATGCTTCTTGAGTTTATGTGTAAAATTTTGACAAGATACATTGAGGGTATGCCCTTGCAATAAATAGATTTATTAGGTACTTCCATTGCTTATTTAATGAATCTGCATACAAACACACGACAGTATCGCTTGTCTGGGGAATGCACGTACAGTTTATAAATAAAATACTAAAATAGACATCGCATCCAAGTTAACGGCTTTTTATTTTACTGCAAATAATATTTTATTTGAGAAAAAAAGACATTTTTTATTTTACAAAATGTGACTTGATCAGCCTCTCACTGTGTACAAACTGCGTCATTTTTCCGAGATGACGTTACATTGACAAGTGCATTGCGATCGATGCATCGTTTATATACTGTTGTGTGGGATTTAACAAACGACAAAACTGCATTTTATAGTAAGTTTGTATGTAGTATACAGCTATCCAGCTGTTTGAAATAGTAAATAATTTAGTTTTGTGGTATTTTGAAGACCTTATGTTATGTGTGACGTCATAGTAAACATTTCCCGTACAAATTAGGCCCTGCCTTCTTACTGTAACCTTAACTGTGCTGCGTAGGGAAAACAGAAAATATGCCAGTCCAAACAACCCTTCCTTATTCTAATGGCTACCAGTTTAACAGTCCCTATAAATTGTAGAATTCACCACACCCTGAGAATGTAAAGGACAAGTACAATATTGCATCCGCCTGATCTGACCACTCTGGCCTAACCGGTAACTTTTATACTCACGCCTCATGCTAAAAATAACTTACACACTACATCAGTCTATTTAAAACCACTAGTCTTTTTCCTACGTTCTTCAGTATTTTTGACAATGAGGAAGGATATGGAGATAACGAACAGTATTCAATCTCAAAGTCCATAAAACAATACAAAATAAGACCAGAACAAACATGGACCCCCGAAACATCAGAGGTGGGATCAGGTGCCATGGAGGAGTGAGAATCCCCCGCCGACAATAAGATTAATCTGGTTTATTTACATTTCACGCGTAGATTTCTAACAAACTGTGAAACAACCTACTACATACAATACACAAAAACACGGTATGTGGGTTAAAAGCTTAAATTATGCGTTTTATTTTGATGTCACAATTGACGAACAATCCGGAAACGCTATGTCATAAGGGAAAGTCAACATTCATGCTTACATTGAACAAAAAATTTTGGCAATGTCAATTCCATGATATATAACTTGATCTTAAGATAAAACAGGGGTTTTGAAATCAATATCAAAGTTGCAGTGAAGACAAATAAATTGATTGATTGATTGATTGATTGTATACTGTTTTACGTCCCTCTCCAGAATATTTCACTGATATGGAGACCTCACCATTGCCGGTGAAGGGCTGCAAATTTAGGCCTTTGCTCGGCACTCAGGGCCTTTGAGAAGGGAGCGATCTTTATCGTGCCACACCCGCTGTGACAAGGGCCTCGGTTTATACGGTCTCATCCGAAGGACAGCCCCATTTAGTCGCCTTTTACGACAAGCAAGGGGGTACTGAGGACCTATTCTAACCCGGATCCCCGCGGGGTAAAAATGTCAAATGAATTGAAAAGATAAATTTAAGCCCTAACAAGCCGTTGCAGTCATGAAACTTTATTATCGATGATAAATACCATTTAATGCTTAAATAAAACAGTTCATTCTGTATGAGATACATGTATTTTACATCTATAGGTGACAGTATGTTAGACACTGGTTATCCAATCTACTACGATCTGTCTGGGATGGACTTCTCCACTTCAGACAGAGATAACGACGTGTATGGTGATCATAACTGTGCTGCCAGTAATGGAGGAGGCTGGTGGTTTAATATCTGTCACCGGGCCTTCCTTAACGGTCGCTGGTCCCCGGGACACTGGATTGACCCGTGGTCTCCTACCGTTGAGTGGGGGATGTATGTGAGGGGGACCTTGATGATGATAAAACGTCACTAGGTAAACACCAATAAATCTTTATAACAAGTTTTCTCGTACCGGTATTTCCGTAAAAATTTCTAATGGTTTGAATATTCTTTTTTTTTTGAAAAAAATATGCTATTTCTGTACCTTGGGACATTTCACTTTTCAACATGGCAGCCAGTGTAGCAGTAGTGCTCTTGAGTCTTGTTTAGTATTTATTTATTTTTTTTATGTTTAACAGATAAAACACCATCCACCATCAAGACAAACCCGATTTCAATTAATATTTATCGAGGGTTTCTTTTTTAAAATATTTTTTTACATCAAGTGACAAAATATGTAAATCAATATGTTTTCGGTAAAGGAAGGATGTTGAACTATTCTTTAAAGCAATATGTAAATTGTTGTATTTTTTCCTACTGAATGTATTTAGTTAAAGATGTACTTCATATGTGTTGTAATAAATATAAAATTAGAAACATTTCGTTCATTTTTACTAACAATGAAAAATGAAGATATCTGGACGGATAATTTGGATATAGTAAACTTTATTGTTGAATCTATTCGATGGAACCTGTGTTATCCGACACATGAGCAATACGCTTTACTGTGTTTTACACCATTCACTTTCATTTCTTAAGATTTTAAAATATTAAAAGAGAAAATTATTAGGTATATTTCATGTTAATGTTATGCATTATACAACGTCTAAGAATATGCTCCTAAAAAAACCTATTTTTCCCCCCATGCAGTATTTAGACTGGATGACTATTTTTTCCTTCATTTATCTGCTATACAGAACCGCTTAAATAGATGTTATTATATTTCTTTAATATCATAAAAAATAAACATAATTGTTGACGTCAGACTGAATATTTTTTTCTCCCAAAACCATTTATACCATGAATTTATCTTAAAAATTTTGACTTTAACGTGTTACAAGAAACGCAGAGATGCAAGGCTCGAACGTTTGATAGGTCTAACATTTTTATCAATAGTATATTATGATCTTAAAGTAAAAAAAACATATTCTGAAGATCACTATCTTTTATTGCTACAGATTAGCATTTGAAAAATAATAAATGGATGCACAAGATCTGTCATTGTAGACTTATCGATCATATGATTTTTTTTTATCTTTTTTTATTTCAAAACACCATAACACAGAACGGGGGTAAACGGTTACAATGTGTAATATGTATTTTATTCTAACGTCACAAACGTTCAAAGTCAAGCAAGAGCAATGTCATAAGCGAAAACCCAAAAATATTGATTGTTATTTACGTCAGAGATAATTGAAGTATTTAAAAAAGTAATTCAAATTTGCCAAACAGCTAAAGAAGTTAGAAAAAGTAAAGAAATAAACACTGATTCATTTTAAAAAAAAAAATATGTTTTCTTATATCTGCAACTGTCTTTGCTCATAAAATTTAGCTATCTAGCATTTATCAATACGTTTGCAAATACCTGTGTAATCATGAGACTACATCTTTCAAAAACAAAAATCAATGTTTACTGTATACAGAGTTATTTTCACCCTTACGCATCTGAAAACAAGTTGGCCCCGTTTTAAATTCACCCAAAAATATTTTTGTAAAAGATATTATACAGTTTACTTAGCATTCGTCCCGTTTTAAATTCGCCCACGCCAGACTAGGGCGAAAAGGGCGAAAATTAAACGGGGGCAAAAATTTCCCTGTATACAGTATGTTTTGACACAATAAAACATCGATATGTGTGTTAAGACAAGTCTTTCTTTATTATGCAATGTGTAGATTATAGTTTATGTACATCCAAAAATTTTAAATTTTTGGTTTGATTAAAGGCTACAACAGTTCAATTATTATGAAGAAAGTTAGTGATTTTCAAAAGTAGAATAAAACGGACAAAGTCAAGGAGTCAATATTAATGATACCCAAAAGAAAATTACAAAGAATACAAAGGTGAAATATAAGAGTCACAGGTTCAACTATTCAAAAGTTCTGACCAAAGTTGTTTTTTTTTCAGAAGAAGGTACAAATTTGGGGTATAAGTAAAAGGATAAAAATATTGGCATTCAAGGGAAGGTCTTACCACAAAAAATAATAAATCGGTAAAATACTAAATCCCAAGCACTAACCATTCAGGAGGTTTGATTAAGGTAATTTTTTTAAGAGCAGATAAAATCCTTAAGTTCAAGGTCAAAGGTCATTACTTCTGGTACGCAAGAGAAGGTCGTGTCAAAACATGAGGAGTAGATATCACTTGACTTAACCGTTCGATATTTATGGCTAAGATTAAATGTTGAAAACTTATTCAAAAGTGAATTAAACTAAAAAAGCGAAATCAGAATGTCAAAAATACTTATACCCCAAAAAAGAGTTTTGCAAATGGAATACACCAGTGAAATATGTAAGCCATAAGTCATATGACCAAGGTTTAGATTTGGGAACATTTTCCAAAAGTGTGTCAAATTCCAAAATGATGGTCAAGATGTAAACAAAAAACATTTAAACCCTAGGAAAAGTACTGTCATATTATATAAACCTGTGAAATATGAAATCCATACCTGAAACCAATCAAACGTTATGGTCAGGGCTATTTTTTAACACTGAAAGCTATACTGACAGACAAACGGACAGAGGGATCGACCGTCAGAGAAAAAAATATATATTCGTCTGATTTAAGGATAACCGGTACTTTTTAAAAACAATTTGTTCCAAATATCATTTTATACGTATGGTGAGAAGAGATCTGAGTGTAAGTTCATATGCAGATATACCGAGACGCCACAATTCAATGTACAACCTGTCTCCATGTAAACGCTATCCATAGTTTATTTGAAAGCATGAGAATAAATCTTGATTTCTTCCGTGGAGACGAATATACTGCATATATAAACTTGAGACGACTACTTTTAATTATTCAGAACTTTTAATACATCGTACTTAATGAAATTTTAAAAGAAAATAATGAATGCAAATGATTATTTTTATTGAATGAAAATGAATCATTATCATTATGTATCAGAATACTCTTAAACACAGTAAAATAATAAAAAAAAAACGCAAAACCTTTGAACACTCTTCTGGTTCGAAATAAAACGGCAAATCCTCACAAATAAAGGAGAATTTTATTCCGACTTCTCCTGTATAGTAGTTCAGTAGTTCCTCTCAGTCACTTAGCGCCACCTACCGTTATTATGATAAGTCAAAAGGAGGTCAAAGATTGGGTCAACTACTGTCTCACTGTCTTTGTTGGGATTCAAATTCTGATACGTCACTGGTGTCCAAATTTCAAAAAAATAGTTTTTCATGGTCGTCAAATACCACTGCATTGGCACGGAACGTAAATGAACAGCTGAGGTCAAGTTCTGCAGAAAAGGACAAAAAAATTATATCATTCTCAGAAATTTATATCTTTGTCATATCTTACTTGTATGATTAAGGATTAATACCATTTTATCTAAAATGACTTGTTGCTTTACATCCTGTATGCAGTAAAAATTGATAAAATTTGATCTTGTTTATACAAATGAAACAGACATTCAAAGGGAATACATTTTTTTTCCATCGTAGCATATGTAAAAATAGAACATTTTATGACGAGCATAAGCAAACCTTGGCAAAACAAAAATTCAATTTAAAGAATGAAAAAAAATAGGTACTGTTAGGTGGTGTTGATTCCCAAAAATTGTATTTTTTGGATCAAATTAGAAATTCACATTTTTGATACATTGCAAAAATATATTTTCCGGGTTTTTCATCTAAAAATTTCAGTTCAGATCTGTACAACGCAAAAAATGTCTCACTATCAATGAAAGGTTTTTAAACATAAATTACAAATTTTTATGAAAAAATATCTATCTTTAATCAAATGCAAGGAAGAGAAATTTGACTAGACCATTTTTGCCATTGCGTTCATGTGATAAAAATAAAGCATGCTATCTATAAATTCCTGAATTATATACACAGGTATATAGTATTTACGCCTCAAGAAGGATATGGTGAAACGAACAGTGTTCACAATCAAAGTCCACAAAACAATACAAAATAGGATTAGAGCAAACACAGACCTCCCAAATATCAGAGGTAGGATAAGGTGCCATGGAGGAGTGAGCATCCCCTGCTGACTGGTTACACGCGCCATGTGTTCATGGTGTTTCATAATCGGGAAATAACGGGAAAATCCGTCGTCAATTCACTGTATTGATAATGGACTAACAATTAATATGAATAACGTCAGTCAGCATTAGACTCAATGCTAAATTGTATTTGCTGAGAAGGTCATTGTATCGACCATAGAACTTAAAGAATTATGACTTTAAACGAGACTGCTGATATCATCAACTTGCTTGTCAATGATTTACCTCGTTTTAAAAATTGTTCATACGAAGAGCATGCTCTTGCGTATCGAATTAACCGAGATATATACACTCCGTATGCAGGTGATGAAGGTATATTGCTGCATACTGAGTAAGTAAGGTAAGTCGAGGATAGAAAAGTTAAAGTCATCATTGTAATAAAAATCTTTTTTTTAATTTCCAGAATTTGTATAGTCAAGATGTGTGAAAAGTAGATTATTTAGATACCAAGATGGAAACAAATATTACGCATGTTATAGATATTGATAATTCTTTGTAAAGAATCACACTTTGACCTAATATAACACATGGTAGATATTGATTATGACTTAATATGAATCACACATTGACCTTATATAACACATGCTATAGATATTGGATTATGACATAATAAGAACCAAACGGTCGTTCTGATATCTGGAATTTCAAAGAAAACAATTATAGTAATTTATATCACATCGAACAAATCAATATCTGAGTAAAGAAACACACGGATTGCAAAACCGTTAGCCAGTCAAATTTTATTAACTGATGTATGTTTAAATATTTATATTTTGTGTTTTGTATGCTACATTGCGAATTTCTACAGGTACCCCACAACGCAGCCAGTAGCTTTAAGTATTTTAGTTTTGGTCTTTTTTGGGTGTGCCAATATACCATTATTTCGAGGAAATACACCGCAAAACTGGAACTG